GAGAGTACTGGTTTAGGATAGACAGATCTTACTATTGACAGATTCAATCCCTAATCTATAAACATTTTACACTTCAGAAAATGCATTTATTGATCTCTTTACCTGTGGTCCACAAGTTCAGTTGTCACAGTGGATGTCGTTGACATGACATTTTTTCCAGCTACTTCAACAGCATCACACACCTTACCTATTCACAAGAAAATCAAAACATAAGTAAACAGAATGTAAATTTAAAAATTCAAACGTTTGTAGGATAGATTTATCACGTAAATAAAATGAGTTTGGTAAACTATAAAAGTAGTACCATCTTAATCACAGCTGTTAAACGTCCAAATATAAGATATCTTGTACAAATGAATAATTATATCTAAACTCTGAAGATTGACTTTTGACAAGGTCAACAATATTCACAAGATTTTATTGAGGAGGTTAGGGGATATGCAATTGATCTTGAATTACTAAATTTGACACCTAATTACAGTCATAGGAAAACACACATAATCTTGATGACCATGATCCAACAATTTGCCTTTGGACTCTCACATATACCAATACAATCAGGTATTGATCCTATTATTACAATGATGGAGCATGGGTATGAATCAGCAGGACAAAAATCTAACACAATCATCATCTGTTGATCCATATATCTAATTTCTAACAATACAAACACACCACTTCCTGCCCGCGCTTAAATATGCTTGAATCCTTTATTAAATTTCAGAATCATTAAAATTTAAATTTAAATTAAGATAAAAGCAATAAAAATAAACTAACACAACTTTTGACCACAGTTAAAAACTTTTTCAAATGATACAATATTATAATGATAACAGATATGGGTGAAAGCCTAATTTAAAGAGCTGATTGTATGACATCCTGACCAAACAAATTGTGAAATTTAAGAAAACAATTTGACATTTTATGAACTTTCATAGAAACTGGACCGGAAACGGAAAAGAATGAAATTTCATTCAAATATAAATGGATAATTCAGATGAGCTATATGAAACTCATACAAGACAGGCTATATGAAACATATACAACATATTGTACTGAATTTGGATAACATTTGCAATTCTAGAGTCCACCCAATAAATGGATAATTAACATCCTCGCCTTAAAATATTTATTTCCAATGAAAATAATATGATGGAAATTTTCTCCATCCACCTATTATAAGTTCACTAAATACACCAAGTACTTTCTATCATTAAAAAGAAAATATTAATAAATAATGAAACTCCAGTGAAAGATAAAACACTCGGACTAGAAAGATAAAACACTCGGACTAGAAAGACCACAACCTGAACACGTAAGTCCATCTGAAGCACCACATAGAGAGCAAAATACTCTAAATTTCACAAAAAAAGTTATTTAAGATAAAAAGATCTATCATCTTATTTTTTTTCTCAATTAATCGATAAATATCTTATTTTATTTTCTAATTAACAGATAGAAAGACATCTGCTTTTTTTTTGGTTGGAAGATACTTCATGTTCTACGGTTACGACTAAAGCAACACAAAAAAAATTCAGCAGGTTAATAACCCATGTAAATTATGATGAGTAATATCTCACTGACTTACTAAATCCATCCAATGATGCAAGCACAACTTCCCCCGGTAAGAGGCTGAAGAATTTCTTTCCAGCCTTTGAGTTTACCACTGAACTAGTGAAAAATCCAGACACTCTCACGACCCCAGAGAGCAATCCATTTGCAACTTTCTCAGTCATTTTAGTCACTCTCTTGACCCTGTTTAAAAACATAAATACATATATCAGAAAAAAGGATTTAAGTGTCAATTGGCTAATAGCTAAGACAGAACAAAGTCATCAAAACATAAAGACAAACTTAACTATAAAAGCCTTAAAAAAGTATTAGACTCTAACTTCCTGGTCCACTAAAATTGGACAGACAACATAATGTAGCGTTTTACAATACGGGGATGAAGTTTCACATTTAAAAAGAAAAAACAAGAACAATGTAAACTACTTTTATAACTAAGTCTTGTAGAATTTCCTCCGCCAAACTTCTTAAGACTATTGGATTTTATAGAATCAACTGTTTGAGATTCCACATCAACTAGAGAAATTTGTAAAGTAGTCCTTATAAAACTTGGCCAACTCTCATCCATTCAGCTAGCTCTTGGGTTTAATTTAGTCTACACTATATTCTAAAATGGTATCAAAGCATATTCTAGGTTTAATTTTAAATCCCCCTTCTAGTGGGTATGAAAGGGTATGTTGAGATTCCAAACTTAAGAGGAGATTGTTACTTTTTCAAACCAGGTTGAACTCTGGTTACACATGTCTTAATATCACAAGGTTGAACTAATTCAATTCATATCATAAAAAGGAGTAAGATTGAGAGAATATTTAGTAACTGGATATCACCCACACACATATTTTTGAGGGTCTTGCCCTTGTAAACATCCTCTGATAATTATCACTGCTAGTCTGCTTGTGCACGTATCACAATATAAGTTTACTCGAAGCACCTAGTAAGTGAAACCCTTTTTCGGTAAGAAGGCGGGAAGATGGTAATAATACAATAAAATTTAACCCTAAATGTGGATAAAATTAAACCTTATTCCAGTGGTATTTTATATTTTTTTCCATTACGATTTGTAGTATATATATAAGAATAAGAAATACAATCAATGCTTTTACTCTTCTTAATATTGCTTTTGGAGTTTCTATTACCTTTAACCCTTCATTATCGCAGAAATGTATTCCTCAAAAATAAGACCACATTTTGAGTTTATACCTTATGATTTATATGACTTATGGCTTATAAGTTCAAAGTTTTTAAAACGCAGTATTTCTGGAATGACTTGTGATTTATCTAGCTTTTCATATTTCCTCTCAATTTTATCTGTTATTTTAATTGGAAAAAATAAATATTAATCGAACATATTTTTAATGTCATTTTACAAGTATAAGTTAGTTCAACAACTAATTTTATCAAACACTATAAATTGAGTCAGCTAACTAGTTCGCTATTATTCATCGGTTGGCTTAAAAGTTATAAGCTATAAACTCACCAGCTAAAAACTAACTTATCAGGTATCACTTACTTATTTCTCAAACAGAACCTAAAAATCGGGTTGGCAAGGACTAATCATGTGCTTAAAGAGGATAGCATACCATTTTCTCTCGCAATTCACTTTTACAATCTTAATTGAAAAAAATTAAAAAATCTTTGATGACATTTTACAATTTTCTCTCAGAATTTCATTCTTACGATCTTAATTGAAAAAAATAAAAAATATTTTAATGACAGTTAAAATTTATCAACTGCTAATTTTACACAACACTACTAAATCAATCTAATAGTTTATCTGCTACAAACTCATCAAGTATCACAGCTAGCTTATCTCCCATCCACTATTTATCATGGAACAAAGTCTTAAGGGAACCCTAGACCCTAGTTACTAACTGAAAACAAAAATATACTAATAATAGTTAATATTATATTGAACATTCTTTTACATACATTATACATAGGTAAAAGGAGTAAGAGTTAGTTTCTGAAATATAACATTTATTAACATGATTGAGATTTTGAGTTTGGGACAGATAGCATAACAGTATAAGATTATATATAGCAGAATAGCAGACACACCTTTTAATCCGCTTCAAGGTTTCAGGACTAATCTCAGTAGGACGTGAACCAGAAGCCATCCTTTTCTTCATAACCTTATTCCCCCATTCCAACCTCTCCATAGTAACATCACCGCACCACAAAATCCCCTTAATCACATGCCCAGAACCCGACGCTATAAACCTCGCAGCACTTCCACTATAATCCTCCACATTCGGAGCCAACGTGGTCCAATACGCCGCACATTGGCCCTCCATTATCTCCTTCTTCTTCTTCGACTCCAAATCCTTCGGCGAAACCTCCTTCGCCATGGATCCATCCAAAGCCTCTCCCTTCTTCTTCGCCTTCTCGGAAACCTTCTGCACAGAGAAATTGCTGCAATTCGCTAGAATCGTATCTAGCTCCTTCAGCAAACTCTCTTGCCCTTTCGACGCGATTGTTAAACCATAGCTCAACAAATCGGAATTAATTTCGTTCTTTCTCCGACGATCCTGTTCTTCGTCATCTTCATCGAAACCCTTGGGTGCGAGGAATGAGAAGAAGTAGTGAGAATCATCAACTTTGACTGATGTTTCTTCTTTTGCAAGAGGCCACTGAATCTCGTCGGCTATTCGAGCATATACAGCGATGGAATTCTCTCCCTGACGGAGACGGACGACTGTGAAGTCACCGGAAGCTAGTTCGACACTGTATTCTTTATCAATGAGATTGAGAATCGCGCCGGGGATCTTAACGAGAATCTCTTCAGTGGTTTCCAGTGGTGCTGAGGGAGAGTTAGGAGTATCGACGGCGGCGGCGACATCTTCCGGGAAGAGATTTTGAACGAGGTCGTTGAAGTCGATTGAAGGGTAGAGATTTGATTGAGAAGAGGAAGAAGGATATGGTGGAGCGTCGGGGTTGGATTCAATTATTTCGGGGTAGAGTGAAGTTCTTGGATTAGGGTTTTGAGTAGCCATTGGAATGTGAAGAATGAGAATTCAATGGTTTGGGTTTGTTGCTGGAAAAGGAATGGAGTGTGTGGAAGATGGGTTTTCTTTTTTTAGGAACGAGGGAAGGTTAGGGACTAATTAGGATCTGACGCGTGGCATGTGGGACAACGCGTTTCTTAATACCGAAGGCTCCCGCGCGAATACTAGTTAATTGATATTTTAATTTAAACTGTCAGTACAAACTTTTTGACGTGTCCAAACATGTGTGGAGGTTACGACGTCAAAGTCACGATTATTTTGAAGTACTGCTGGTCGAGAATGGTTGAATCAACGTAAACCCGGTTCTACCGACAAAAAAAACAAGGATACGTGCGGTTCGTGTCGGGTCAATGGGTTATCTTCACTATCTTGTGCATAATTTGATGGGATTTTAAGAGAATATTTTGCCTTAAATATTTTTAAAAATTTTAAATTAAACTTAATATTATATTTGATTTTTTAAAGATGTTTTTAAAGATTATTTTACCATTAAAACTTCCTTTAATAGCTTGTTGAGTATATTCAACAGTCTTCAAGAAACTTTCTATCTATATTCACGCAGTGAGACTCAAGAATTGAAATCATAGAATATTCTCATTCTGACAATTTAAAAAAAAAATTTAGCAAAACAATTCAGATTGTTGGATCTGAACAATAAAAATTACTGACATCCTTTCTTTGACGTTGTTTTTATGACGTCATTTCTTTAAAACAGTTATCCATTAAGAATGTTCTAGTACCGTATAATATAAGAGAAAATGACTAAGTGTAGAGGTGGCTTTTGCATGAGATTGCATGTTGAGAGTTACATCATGCAGTTAATTAGTTAGAGAGTAATAACTATTTTTCTCATACAAATGCACTTATATATAGTCTCTTGTAACAAACTTGTGAACTAAGATCAATAAATACATTTTCACTTCAACTTCTTCTTATCTCTTCTCTCTGCATTTTTCACTACTTTACATGGAGTTTTTCTTTGCTTCCATGGTGGTTGTGTTTGCTTAGATGGTATCAGAGCAGGTTCGTCCTGCTCTATTTCCGTTGCGCGTGTTGCTTTGGTCTTGCATTGTTTTGCTTGGGTATTGCTTCTTGAAGCATCGTTTTCTTTTCATCTGTTTGTTCTTGTGATTGCGTGTCAATTTTCTTGAAGATCGCTTCTGTTTGAAGTATCGTTTTTTATAGTGTTTCCTTTGGTGATTTCTTATTCTTGAATCTTTTTATGTTTCAACATTTTGTTTTCAGAATGACGAGAAACAACAATAATCAAATTCTAGACACTCTTGATACATATTATGTGCATCCTTCAGATAATTCATCGACGGTGTGTGTAACTTCTACTTTGTCAGGTGATAATTAGCATGTTTGATCTATGAGGATGATAAGAGCTTTGGCAATAAAGAACAAGTTCAAATTTGTGGATGAATCAATCGAAGTTCCGAATAAAGATGATTTGAATTACACGGCTTGGCAAAGATGCAACAATTTGGTGCATACATGGATTATCAATTCCATCACACCACCAATTGCTCAAAATGTGGTGTTCATTGATAATATTGTTGATATGTGGAATAATATCAAAGATAGATTTATGAGAGGTGATCGTGTCCCTGTTGCTCAGTTATACCAAGAGATTTCGAATATGAAACAAGGTAACAAGAAGGTTTCAGATTATTTCATTGAATTGAGAAGCTTATGGGAAGAATTGTATCAATACAAGCCAATTCCAAGTCGTGATTGTCGTGTGACTTGTGCTTGTTTGGCAATGAGTAATAGTAGAAGCTTTAGGATAGAAGATAGAATAATTCAGTTCTTAATTGGCTTGAATAAAGAATACCATGGAGTAGTGTCACAGGTTTTGCTCATGTATCCCTTGCCACAGATAAATAAGGTATTTTCAATGGTGATGTAGCAGGAGAGAAAGATATGTGGTAGTGTGTTTTCAAGTGGAACTGCAGTCGAAGATAACTCAAGCATGATAAATATTATGGATGGATCGAAACAATTTGGTTGAGGTAGAGGAAATGCTAATTTCATTGCATGTAGAGGTAGAGACAGTGTGAAAGTGTGCACTTAATATGGTAAAATAGGCCACATCATAGATAGTTGTTACAAGAAGCATGAATATCCACCTAATTTTGGAAGAGGGAGTTCTTATATGAATCGGGTGGAAGTTGAAGACTCTGAAGCTATACTTGTTGTGGCATCAACCAGTGATAATGGAAATATCTCATTAACCAAGAAACAATATTAGAACTGGTCTTGCTTGAGAAGAGCACGGGATCTGTTAACATAACTAAGAGAGATAATCCTTGTATTGCTAGCTTTAATGCTCATAGTAGTGTAAATTGGATTCTAGATACATTTCTTACACACCACATATGTCATTATTTAGAATCGTTTATCAATCATGAAACAATTAGTCATATAATGGTTAATTTACCTGATAGAAACTCAATAACTGCATCTAGTTGCGGAAATGTAAAACTGTCAAATGAGTTGATCATTGAAGGTGTTCTTTACTTGCCACAATTTGAAGTTAATTTGATTTCAGTTTAAAAAATGTATAAAGAACAAGATTGCCATCTTGTATTTGAAACTGACAAATTTGTGATACATGCAAGGAAGGACTCGGGGAGGATTGGTTCAGCTAAAGAGCTTAATGGTCTCTATTACTTAGAAGCTTCTCAAACTCAAAGAAATATAGGGTTTGTATCTAGTGTTTTTGCTAATAAGAAAGACAAAACGGAAGCACTTGCCATTCTATGGCATCTTAGACTTGGGAACCTATCTTATAATAGGATGAAATGTATGAGTATAATTAGTTATATTTCTAGTAATGTGCACACATCATGTGATGTTTGTCAACAATCTAGGCAAAAGTTTTTGCCATTTCCTATGAGTAATAATCACTACTATAAAACGCGCAAACAATAACACCCAATTTACCATGGTTATATCCAACACTGTGGTGACATCTCCAAACTCAGGCACTAATATTTTTTTATATTTTTAATTAAAACTTGTTAGGTTATAATAACGGTTGTTGAGATAACTGTAATTATACAGTAAAGCTTTCATGGGTCCGAACCTAAGCTCCATCAAATAATTTATTCCTTTAACATCAAATAATTTATTCCTTTAACCGTTGTGCAATTGATTGCCCATGTATAAGCAAATTAACTCTCGCTTCTTGATAATATCATCGTATCTTTAACAGCAAAATCCTAGAACCCATTTTTCTCTTCTTCTTCGTCATTAGCTTTCTTATTTTACAATATAGTCGTCAATCTTGTTCTCCATACATAAAGATATTATTCTTCTTCCTTATTATCTCATTTTCATGTATGTTGTTGTTATGTTTCACATGATTTTCATATTATTTTCTTCTTGTTAGATAGTTTATGATTTTTTATTATTGTATGTTGTTGTTGATAAATATAGACATGAATCAGCTTATTTAAGTCCATCAGCTTATGTAAGTATAAATTAAACTTTAAGCACTCTAAGCGAGTTTGACATTCGCGCCCTGAATCAAACCCGCTCTTTTCAGTTTTTCAAACACCTCCCCCATGGGGATTTTCATATTATTTACTTTGTGTATGTTGTTTTTATTGAAACAACCAACCGAACCATCATCTAATAATAAAATTAATGAAGTCTCCACCGAACCTTTTTTATCCTTCCAAAAGGGAAAGGTGAACATCAATTAAACTTGAAGGGGTGAAATTACGGTCTTGCAATTGTAGAGATCGGGTAAGGGGGTCGGTTACGCGAAGGGAAGGTATTAGCACCCCACATGTCTGTGGTACTCCACAATATTCACTTATGTTTGTTATAATCTAAGGGTGTCTAAGAGTCTAAGTCTAAAGCTTAATGCGAAAAGGGAATGCATGTGAAAGAAAATATGGGGAAAAGAAGGAAGATTTTACAAAGTTGTGCTTTCTTAGGCCCCACGACCTAATGCCTACGTATCCCTTTTAAAGAATCAGAGTGCCGTAATTCGGCTCACATGTTTTGGTTTGTTTGTGTTTTTTAGTTAAAAATACAAAAGCAATAATCAAGATGGCAAAACATCAACAATAATGGAAAGACAATGACAATGATGGCAAAACATCAACAACAATGGCAGAACATTAACAGTGATGGCAAAACATCAACAACAAAGGCAAAGCATCAACAATGATGGCAAAACATCAACAGTGATGGCAAAACATCATAATTTAGATGATAAAACATCACACCTAACAATGATATTGAAAATCAAAGTAGGATAACAAACATATGCGATGGTGAAACATCGACACAAAGATAGCATAATATCATGGAAAGGATGGCAAAACATCAATTTAGATGATAAAATATCATATACGATGACAAAACATCAACAAAAATGGAAAAATATCAACAATGATGGCAAAACATCACATACGATGACAAAACATCAACAATGATGGTGTGATATGGTAGCAGAACCGACTGTTAATGCTGGTTTTGCGTTTGTGTTTGCAAATGTTGCGGTAAGCAAGAGTCGTCACCAACTTTTCTTTTATCCAAATTAAGAAAAGGGTGAAAAGAACAGAAAAAACCTTTTCGAGAGTTTTCTGAGTAAGGGGGGTAGATTATGGAAAGGGAAGGTGTTAGCACCCTTTCCATCCGTAGTTATCTACGGGCTCTTAGATGCTAGCTCATGTTTTGAAAATTACTTGTGCTTTGTGTGTTTTGAAAATCTGTTTTGAAAATGCCTTAGTGCAGCGATTCGCTTTGTGATAACTCTTGTATCAGTCCTCAAGAGTGTTGACAAAGCGAATGTCTTTGAAAGTTGTTTTTGAAATGTGTAAGTGCGAAAAGTTTATTTTATTTGATAAAGCATCTAACAGCTATCTACTCGTACTCGAAAAGGTTTGTTCTTTTCCTCCTATCCTTTAGACAGTGTTATCATACTATTAGTGAGTAGGTAGCCCTATCGTTGGATGTTTGAGGGACAT